AATTTTAAAGGTGCATTAACCTACAAATCACTCAATGAATGTTATGATCCTTGTTTTTAAAAATTATAAGCTGTATAAAGACTTTCTTTAATACGCAAGTGCTTTCGACTGTATATTCAGTCATCTTCAGGCATGGAAATTATTTTGCTTTTGATAAAATTCAGATAGAATCCGAGACAAATATATATATATATATATATATATATATATATATATATGTGTGTGTGTGTGTGTGTGTGTGTGTGTGTATTTGTTTATTTGGAAAGCAGTCTTTTTTAATACATGTTTCTCTGAAGTTAGATGACGTTTATTTATTTATTTTTTCGTATACGTCTTCTTTTCTAGACTAAATGTGTGTAAAAAAATTGTTAAAAAGATTGTTGGTTCCGAGCGCTTTCGGTTAAATTGTTAGCCATCTTCAAAGATCATTTTTCCCTATACTACTACAATAAATTATGTTTAAGTACTATTGTAGATTATATAAAAGTTGCTGAAAGCAGATGTATTCTGAAAAAAGCAGCCCTTAATGATATTAATTATGAAAACGGCCACAGCGTACTGACCGTATTCGAAGATTAATAATAGATCTCGGTATTTTGAGATTCTCGTTTGCATCTGATTGTACAAAGACCGGGACAGACCATGCGTATGTTCAACAAAGGAACGCAATATGAAAAAAACGACATGACGAGAAACGAAAACACTAATCCTGTTTTCAATATATTTTTGTTTTTTATTCCACAGATTCGCCTCGGGTGAGATCAAAAAGTAACGCAATCTGTTTTATTATGTAAGAAATAAATAACTCAGTCAAACATGTCGTACATAAAGCCATCGCTATACATGACATGTACGCATCCCTGAGTTTTACGAAGCTGGGATACATGACTGCTGTGGTGTCCTCCCGCTAAAGAGTCTATGTTGGACTCTTCCGCCTACTATAAGATTAGTAGGAGAGAAGGCCTTGGTGGAACAGTCGAATAGATTGAACGCTGGATCAACCGACACACACTCACTAGTCGTGTAATACTCTTCTGTTGTACTTACTGTTTAATATATGATATATTTGCAACCCTGGTTTTGTTATTTCTTTAACCATTTACTTGGTCACAACAACGACCTTATTCGTAAGATGAACACTGAAAGAGGTGGTGACTAAGTTGAGTAGTAGGGTCATTGATGATTTTTTACAGTAAGCTTCAATCTGTACAAGACCCGGGAGCCACTCGAGGAAGAGGGTTACGTTAAGGGGTAGTTTATATGGATATTAGGGGAAGATAGGGAGACTTGAACAGTGATCGGGGAAATTTCCTCTTGGGAGTCTATTCACGCCGATGGAATACGCAAGTAATGTGGGTGGTGTGCTTCTATGTAAGTGGCATGGCGGGTCCTGGGCATGAAGGTTAGACCTAGCAGAATTAAAGAATGTAATTCGTCCGAACACTTTCCATGGATGTAGCGAGTGAAAGATTCGCCACATCCTTCCTGTGAGAGAGAGGTTGGAAGTTGGAAAATAATTCTTCTCCAGTATGTATATTTATATCCTGATGCATGATGTGTTTGACTGTGTTCCTTATTTCTTACATAATAAAACAAATTGCGTTACTTTTTTTTACCCACTCTCATATAAGCATAGCCTAAAGATTTTATCAAAGTTGATTCTTAGCAACGTCGGTTTTTTTCTTGACTTACGTAATACAATTTGACTTCAAGTATAGTTTTTATTTCAAACAATGAAAGTCTTATAAAAAATAATCTTATTTGTCTCGCGTCTAACTTGTGATTTCCAAGCGCTTCTTCTGTTGATGCTAACGTCATTCTAAGAAAATTAAAAAACAAAAAAACAAAATAGAATTAAAAAAACATTTCGAAAATGGATAAACAAACAATTTCAACTGGTAAAAGTTTGGAAAAAATTCGATATTTTCAAACTAATTGAGTAAACGTACTATTGGTTTGGTGCATAACTATCAGTCGTTTTTAAGGAATATTTATTATGAAAAACGCCTGATAATTACGCACCAACCCAATAGAATCTAAAGGTGACTATGGGAGATTATATAAAAGTTGCTGAAAGCAGATGTATTCTTTAAAAAGCACACAAACACTGAATCGTAGGTGAAATGAAAAGTGGCAAAATGCGGGGGCCATTTGTTCGTCCAAGTTACGGAATTGATTTGACATTCGAAAATCAACTCCATCCCCCTTCCTACACGATAATAAATTTACATCTTTCTTTTCCCCACGTTCTATATATGACTTCTGGAAAACACACAAGATACAAAGTTCACAAAGTTTTATATAGTAATAAGATTGTATCTGGTAACAATAAGAGCAATTCTAAGACGGGACGAGTTTGGAATATCTGTCATAAAGTACATCCATTACTAGCGCAAGAAGATTATTGCAAAATTTAAGTTTACCAGTGGTAAACAACAAAAGACGAAACATTAGGATTTTTTGTCATATGATTTACTCAGCTACAAATAAATATAAATTTTTAGGGTTTTGTTCTATTTAACTAGGCTTTTCGTTTGTTTTGTTTTGTTTTGTTTGTTTTTTGTTTTTTTTGTTTTTGTTTTTTTTTTTTAGTGGGGGGTTGCAAATACCATGTCCCATCAGTGTTTAAGCGATCATGTCTCTCCATAAATAATTTTTCTTTATGATCTGTGAATTGACATGACGATTTGCACAAGATGAGCAGCGAGTTTGCCATTGCCTTCACTACGGTTTCGAATTCCGAGTTTTCTTTTTCCAAGACTCGTTGACAGCCAAGCCTTCGTCCTGGTTATGACGATAAACTACATCCGACAGCAAGGCTTTTGGTCAGGAGAATGGAGGTTTTAACCACTGCTTAATTGCTGTTGTTCCTATATCCACCCTGACCCGGGTTGGTAGTACCTGTTAGGAACCCAACTTTTGGCAAATAGTGAACCCCCAAAACAAAAATCAACAGAACATCTTTCGACTTTTACAAATGGTTCCACTCCAGACTACAGTGATGATGATGATGATCCATCACGAAATGGTTTAAAAGCATGGTGGAGTCGAATGTCAAACCGATTCCGTAACTTGGACGAACAAATGGCTCCCACATTTTGCCACTTTTCATTTCACCTATGATTCAGAACAAGAACACCAAAAATTACCTGATATACCAATAGTTGACCAAAGACTTCCAGCTGCTCCTATTCAAAGCCAGCAAATAATTGACTTCAAGAGTTATAAGACAATGCTTCAAGAAACCAAGAGAAGTGCTACAATGTGGATTCGAGCACAGCACATTCCAATACGTGTGAAACACTGAAGCCAGTTCTTCCTCCATTTTTACCTCCACCAACATTTGGGTTGGATACTTCCAGCCATCGTAGACCATGCAGTGGACGAAGAACTACCCTTGTCAACTTCTTACTAATTTTAATTTGTCTTCCGGACGCTGGGTGGCAGGTCCATCATTGTTCACAACCGGTCAATGGGCAACCTAAGTGTCCACCAAGTGAGCAGTCAGTCTCTAGCAACACTACCCACCTATCTTCCCCCCAGCCTCTTCTCCTGAAAATCAAAAGTATTTAAACAAAAATAACAAAATATTAACTTCGGACAGTTTACCCACAACTTCGAACACAAAACTCAGCACTTATAGGAAAATGAGAAAATACAAAAAAATAAAAATAAATAAATGAATAATATAAAAAATAAACAGACAGATCTTGCCGGTTCTTTTTAATCAACTTTGTTTTGGAAGAAGACTTAGTGCCTAAAAATATTTATCTGTCTGTGGATGACTATTTGTGTTCTCGATTGAGCTATTGGAGAGGAAGGAGTAATTTTATAAACAGTGGCTGCTGCTGCTAATGCAAGTCTCTTCTACACGAATCGAAATCTCCTAGCTACTGACGTCTTTCGCATAGTAAAAACGTTAAAATTTCCCTTCCGCTCTGCCGCGCGACGATAGCTTGAGGTAAAATCTTTGACTGATGCCAAATCGGTAGGGTTTCGATCCCGCCTTGAAGCAATCGGATATCGAGCCACACTGATGAGCTGTGATACAGTGGAAGACCATATATATATATATATATATATATATATATATATATATATATATATATATATATATACTTGTTATGGTAATTTAACCACGCACATATGAACTCTCCCAGCTATAAATAGGAGCAGGTACTGCCTTTTGGAGGGGGAAGTTTCCATCAGCTCTGACAGGCGAACCGAACATTCTTGCTGTAACACTCTCGTTTGTATATGTTTGTATTTGTTTAACTCAATTACTCTCTGGGCGTGTTTATTTCTGGTGCTAGCAAGGCCGCAACAATACTACAGTTCAAATGTTTGACGACACCCACAGAATTAGCATGGGATGTGCTTGACAGAAGAGTGAAAGAAAAAATGGCCCCTGTACTTCTCCAGCAAGTACCGAACACCACTTCAACCTCTACGTTTATAAGAGCCAGATCATGCCGAAAAATGGAGTACTGCTGCTATATATGGAGAGGAGCTTCACTTTCCACTTTCGACAATGTCCAGAAGCTTCTCGGTGTCCTTCTGACAAATTATTTCCCACTCGACAACCAGATTCTCATAGACGAAACGTTGCAAGCCTTTCACTGTTCCATTGCTATTTCCATGGCGAGAGTTCAGATGAACTACACTCCTTAGTTCCACCACCAGTCCTACCCTTCACGGCTAAAACCCGCCATGCTACGCACATGGTAGCGAACCACCCTTATTCCCTTTGTATTTCCTTCGTATTCCCTTAGTGAGATGTAAGCTCTACTCAAGCAGCTTCTTCTTTTGAACCACTACCTTGTGAAACCGACTCCAACGAGGTTGCTTCTCTGATCACTACATTCTTAACTTGTTCAAGTCGAGGTGTAAGCGTCATCTTTCACACATATCCACATAAGCTGTGCCTCTTACACTGTGCCTCTCTACCACGAGTGACCTTGTAAAGCATGAATATCACTGTAAAAAAACATCCTGAAGGCCTATGGCATTTGAGAGAGAGAGAGAGAGAGTGAGTGAGAGAAAGAAAGAAAGAATGAATGAATGAATGAATGAGAGAGAGAGAGAGAGAGAGAGAGAGAGAGAGTGAGAGAAAGAAAGAGAGAGAGAGAGGGAGAAATTGTCCGAAAAACTGTTTTCAATCGATTACCTACGAGGTCAGTGTTTTCCAACGAGGGCGCTAGCGTCTCCCTGTGACTCTGTTATGTTGAAAGGGGGCACTGTGAGTTTTTATTTCATTTGGGGGACGGTAAACATACTCGGGGGCGGGGGGTACCAATTAGTTTTTTTTCCTTGCTTTCAAAAATGATTCAATATTGGCTACAAAAGGAAGTTTCTGAGAGATATCCAAAGCTGTAAGAAGATATCAAACCTTTCTTCGTTGCTTTTTCAACTTCCTATAGGACAGAATGGGGTTTCAACGCAGTTACAGAGCTTCTTACTAAACAAAGAAACCACATGCAAATTACAAAACAAGGTGATTTACGATTACTTCCAAGAATCATGGAACCTAGATTAAGAGCCTTAGCCAGTAAGCACCAAAGTCAACAATCACATTGAAAATATTTAGATAAGCTATCAAATAAAAGTTTGTTTGTTTTTTAGCATTTTAAACATTGACATTTATAATAGAAATGAGAACAATATTAAAATTATTTTTGCACTAATACCTATGTGTTATCTTGCTATGAAAGATGGATTCAATATAATATTCAATATTTAATTTGATAGGGGGCGTTAATAAAAATGTTGGTTAAAAAAGGGCGCTGGTTGAAAAAAGGTTGGGAAACACTGAACTAGACAGTTATTAAACTTATGTTCAAACGGCACAAAGCCACTAGTTGGCTGCTGTAGTAATGGTCTGAAAGTTTCGTGCTTAAACGTAGTTTATATAAAAGGGCATCCACCTCGGCGTCGTTGTCGAGGTGGTGACCTTGTTTTTAGACGTAAAGACAGTCTATGGAGTTCGGCTGGCTGAGGCAGGAAGCAAAGTGTGAAAGGAAAGAAGAAGAATGTCTTGAAGGCTAAAGAAAGCAACAGGTTGGAACAGGACGGGGAAGGGAAACAAAATGGTTGCCATCGACCAAAGTTGGGAAGGATTTTTTTTTTCTTTTAGAAGTAAGCGAACGACATGAAATGAAGTCGGGGGTACTTTGAATTTAGGAAGAAATTATGATGCAGAATGCAGGGAGATGAAATTTACGAACAGATGGATAAAGTTGAAAAGACGAGAAAGGGAGGATTAGGGGTCAGGGAATGGTAAAGAGAAGATGGATGGTGAGAAGGAGGTAAGGGTGTTATAAGAACGGTGGTTTGGCCTAGAAGGGGTAAAAGCAAAAGAAGAAGAAGAAGAAAAGGAAACTGGTGACGTAGAAGAGAAGACGATTACAGAAAGAAAATAATATTATAAACAACAGTTATGACGACGACGAGAAAAATATGAAGAAGAAGAAGTAAGAGAAAAAAAGGAATAAGGAGATGTGAAGGGAATAAGAGGAAGAAAAAGAGAGAAAGAAAGGAGTAGGATAAGAAAAGTAAAGAAATGTTGGGGCATTAAATTCAGAGGAAGATGAAGAGAAAGGACCCCCCACCAATGAAAAGAAAGAGGTCAAAGAAATGTGAGATACTTCTTTTGAAGAAGAAGAAGAAGAAGAAGAAGAAGAAGAAGAAGAAGAAGAAGAATGGGGAGGTTGAGGAGGTGCAGGGAAGGTTAAAAAGGAAAGAGTAGGGGGGTGATAAACAGAATAAGAAGGGGAGAAGAGATGTAGAGGAAGACGGAGGTGGTGAAGTAGGAAGAGAAGAAAAGAAGAAAAGGCTGTAATTTGAGAGAAAGGGGTAATAAACGTAAGATGCTTCTTTTACAAGAAGAAGAAGAAGAAGAAGAAGAAAAGAAGAAGAAGAAGAAGAAGAAGAAGAAGAAGAAGAAGAAACAAGTACATGAATCTTGAAAAGAGGCCAAAAAGAAGATCTTAGAAAAAATAACAAAGAAATGTGTTGGGTTGCATTAGTGCAGTAGACATCATCTCGTCTAATAGTCCCATGTCGTCTTTAGTGACGAGGTCAGAGAGGGACCGTGGGAAACACTTACTGGGAGTCATTATCTGACTCGGTCATCACGAAAAACGCGGTTAACGACAGGATTACGCTATTTTCTCCTCGGATTCAACTCAGAAATATTTGAGGTCAAACTTTTCCGTTTCTTAATATTTACTAAACTTACACTCGTCCGACACGATGTTACAAATGTCAGGAACGAACTCACTACAACGCTACTAGTCTGAAAAACTAACTTGCTCCACGACTAAATATTCTTGATTTCTAATTAATTTAAGCGAGCCAGGCAAAAGGCCCCAAGTGTGGAAAACCCAGTTAAATAAAATACAGAACGCATGATCACGTGACTATTTACAAAGTTTAATTCAGTCTGGTACAAGACTCTAAGCACGAGGGACTAAATGAAAATCTAATTAACGTTAACGATATTTGATTCACAAAGCATTAACCTCTGTGATACAAACATCGTTAACCAATGTCTTTACAGCGAAGTACTTCAATTCTTTATTTATTTAGTAATAATATACCGTGTGTTTTTAAATCCCTATTGATTAAGTTAAGGATAAACGAAATATACAACAACGGTGAAATACCGAAAGACCTCAGTGTGTTTATCTTCATATCTTATCTTCATATGGATGACAAAGAAACCAGTTGCAAATGAATACAAAATCCATCAGACAATAAGCTGGGTGAACTGCATAATACAAGTCGTAGCAGAATTAGAACGGGAAATAGTGAAAGAATAGTGTAACTATGAAATTTTATATTTATGATCAAAGAGACATGATACTTGCCTAATACATTCGTTCGTGAACAAAGTTGGATGTGCAGATGGTGTAATGGATAGCAGACCGGAAGGAAAATTCGGTGTTCAAATTCCACTGGGATTCGTTGCATTCAATTACGCGCAAATGCATCTCTTCCCCCAGTTATGGGTTAAATAGTAGAACTTGTATATGGAAAATCATTGTTATTCTAAAAAAAAAAAAATGAATAAATAATACAATATTCACTCTTAAAATTCAAAATGTTTCGGCATTAAATAATTCCCAAAGGGTTGACAATCCGTAAAAAGCAAATCATAAACAGAGATGCATAATGTTGGTTGTTTGATTTTGTTTAGCGGCATATTAACCTCTAATGAATGAAAATGGGATAAGTGTAAGCGGAATGTGATGCTTGAGCGCGTTTCTCTGTGTGTTCACGTATGTGTATATCTGTCTCGAAGAGGGGAATCAAATCAGTACTTAAAACTTCAAGCCGAGTACGCCTCCATGTTCCTTGATCAGATAGAAATTGTGGCTGTGTTTTTGCTTCCTTTTTTTTTTATTGCTAGTGAACCGGAAGTCATCCGGGATTAGACAATAAATATCAAGACGAGTCGCATCGTGTGTAGGTAATAAGATGGAAACAATTGTAGCTAACGGGAGGTACACAAGTCGATACCCGATCAGTATCGGCAGGGTCAACGCGGAGATACTGAAAGACCCGAAACCCCTAATAAATCTCGGTTAGAAACATCACTGATTATGTGTACCAAAGAATCCAATAGATATATTTTACGAAATATGGGTTAGTTAATGACGAAATCTAAATATTTTGAACGCAGTTTTATGGCTTCAACTACAAATAAAATGCATTGTTAGTCATTTTGCTATAAATATATAACGTTGGTAACTTTTTTTTATATAAAAATGTATTGCTGGTATTTTTACGGTAAAAATGTATTTTTATACTTTCATAGAATGTTGTTTTTGTTTGAAGGTTCATTATTTGCTCATAGCTAGGATCCTAACAGGTGCTGCTACCTCGTGTCAGGCTGAACCTGGGAACAACAGTAATTAAAAGGTGGTTCCAAGTTCCTCAAAAAGTCCAATGTCCTGATCAGTGATCTTGCTGCCGGATGTAGTTTATCGTCATACCCAGGACTAAGAGATGCATAATGTGGGAATCCTTAGGGGTTATGCCTAAATGGCTAAATGTAGTCGCATTAACGTAAACATCACTTGAGTCTGATGATATCTTAAAAGACGACACGTTTCACAGGAAAACCTTTTTCTACTTTGTTATATCCCCCCTAAATTGTCCTTCAAATATATATTAAAAAAATATACATATCGTTCTCCGACATATATTTTGTTTAAAATTTGCTTTTTTGGAAGAAGAATGGCAAATATTGAATATACAGCTTTTATAGATATAAACAGTTTTGTCCTTGAAATCAGCACAACCGCATTTTGAGTGTTATCATGATCTGAAAATGGCTTGTCATATCATGATTCAATCAGCATGCACTACATGCAGTGTTGATTATTCTATCATTCCTTCTGTCTCTCTTTCTCCGTCTCATTCCTCTCTCTACCCCCCCCTCTCTCTCTCTCTCTCTCTCTCTCTCTCTGTATATATATATATATTTTGGCCTAAATCGCCTATTATTTTAATACCTATACTCTGGCGGTGGGGAAAAACCGGATAATACAATTTGTAAATAAAAATATCGATATCAGGGTTAACAAATTCAGTAAAAAAAGGAAAAGACTATAAACATCCGCGTAGATCGAAAAAAATCAATCAGCACCGCAATTCCTAGGCAAAAGAAAAAAAAACACCGACACGAGTCAATTAAGTAAAAACGTAAAACTGCTCAATACACTAAGTACAGCTCAGTCGTCAGCGTAGAGCTAGTAGTACCCTGAAGATCCGTTAGATGAAACCATGGTAGGTAGGTTCTGGCTCATTAGGTTATATATATATATATATATATATATATATATATATATATATATATATATATATACCCAGTATATGATTGGTGTATACGGAATAAATTCCAATAACCAACAATTACTATTCTTAAAAGAGTGCTCAATACAGTGTAGAGCGAATATAATTATTTATTTAAAAATTATAACATAAATATGTTATCAAATCACTACAAAAATAGCCATTTTGTGATGTTGAATGTAGATATACAATCTACATTCAACATCATCACTTGATAAGACACCAGAGATGTTGAAACAAAATGGCTATTTTTGTAGTGATTTTATAACATATTTATGTTATAATTTTTAAATAAATAATTAAATATATATATATATGTGTGTGTGTGTGTGTGTGTGTGTGTGTGTGTGTGTGTGTGTGTGTGTGTGTGTGTGTGTGTGAATCCAAACAAGTTTGATTAAAAAGTACTGACATGGTCTATCTATAATTTTTCTTATACATTTCCAACTTCCGGATAAGATGTTGAATATTATGTTCGAAGTTGTGGATTAACTGTCCGAAATTCATTTTTTTTTTATTTTTGTGCAAGTACTTTCAACTTTCACAGTCATTATCAAGAACCGATGTCGTGTCTGTGTGGTAGTTTTAACTACTTTGTCTGCATCTTCTTATTCAGTCGGACGCTGGATGTTTGAAATAATGCCCTGCGTAACTGCAATTCTGAACGAGGCAGTACTAATAGAATGCGGATTATTTTATTTTATTTTATGAATTAATTTACTTGTTAATTTTTAATACTAAGATGATATGTGCGCACATTAATTATATCATATGCACTTCAAGATGCCATCTGCTGTGGTGAATTGTTTAATGTGGGCTGATCATTTTGTATAATAATAACTTCTATAGTTTTGAGACTTACCTTGTAACTGGTGTTGTAGGATATTGGTGTTGACATTTTGGTCGTTCATGATGGGTTGGCCGATGTGGACACGTATATATATATAAATGAAAACAATATATATATATATATATATATATATATATATATATATATATATATATATAAGGACTTTGTAAAATTTTGCCTGTGGCAATCAAACATATCGGTAGATCAATTGGAAGCGGTGGCACTGGACAGAAGTCAGTGGCGCAAACTGATTCATGGTGGTATAGACTCCTTTGAATTCAGCCATTTTCAGTAGGCCGCTTTCAAACGATCAGTTCATAAGGATGAACAATTTCCAGCACCAGATCTACAACGTCCCCACGTCAACTGTGGCGTATGCGGAAAACTCTGTCTCTCACTTTCGGGTCTCAAAAGCCATCTGCGCAAACATGTTCAACCTGCAATTCCGCAAAATAACATTCATGTGAACCAAAACGATCGACAATGTCCAGTCTGTGGTAAGACCTGCCGCAGTTTGGTGGGTTTGAAAAATCATCAACGGGTGTATACAGCTTGAAATGAGGCGGGGGAGGGAGGAGAAAACGTAAGACTCAAGAGGTGATCACACTCGAAATCAAGACGACAGCTATAATATATATATTTACTGTCTTCCTGCTGTGGTCTGCTATCACATTTACGATCTGAGCCATTTTCTTTTCCTTGCTTACAACTATGAGATCTGAACTCATTGGCTGGATAGTGTGGGTAGTCTGGATCTGGTCTAAGAATATACGAGCGCGATCTTTAAAAATTTTAGGACATACTCACATATATAAATCTGACCAGATGACTACATATTAGAATTTATTCTGAAAGGTCTCCCCGGTCTGTCTGGGCACCATCTTTTATAGATCATTTTAAAATTTTCTTTAACATCCCATTGTATTTTTTTTTTTTTTTTTGGGGGTGGTATTAACATAGACGTATTTAAGTCGTTTGCATATTTCCCAGTGTGTCAGCGTCTATAATTTTACGTGTTTGTTTTTCTTTTCTTTTTGAGCAAGCTTTTCTTATTCGTTTAATAGTCACGTCTTTTTCTCCACAAAAGCGACATCCGATGTTTTTCTGTATAGTGTCAAGCTTTGTGTTGGTGTAATTCATTCGATTTGATTCATTTATTCCGGACTGTAGTGATAAGACATTTCGTTTCTTTATTTAGACATCTTCTGTGTAACTATGTCTAGGTCGTTTCGTCCACAACAGAATATCGCTATTGTCTGTCAAAATCTATTATAATT